CCACCTTCTCTGCTACAGCATCGAAATTTCTCCAGACAATCATATATCCCCTTATATATATATATATATATTAAAAGTATATGCCTATATTCATAACGATTTCCACTAAAGGTCGCTCCACACGATTTCGCTATCTGCAAGTAAGAGAGACAGGCCATATATAAAAGTATGCAGGTACACTCATAGTCAAAAGACAAAGAAATGTGATAATAGGACGAAGGGTACAGGGAGTTGTAATCGTCAGAATTATAATTACAATTATAATAGTTCAGAGTCTCGCACGGAAAGCCTTTTGCCGGATTTATTAGCACGACAGGAGTAATTTTTGCCTACAGTGGCGCCGCGAACGGGTTTTTATGAAAATAGAGAGACTGCCGCTGCTTTATGGACACCAGCCGGAATTTGCCGCTAAGCGTCAGTTTAGCAGGGGGATAATTTACGGGAGAAAAAAGAAGCTCACTAAATATACGTAGCGCGAAAAATGTTGATTTTTCTTTTTAATTTTTTTGCACCGGCCATATCAGGCATTTCGAAGAGCCGGCGGTCAGTCTGGTTTGAAAAAAAATTTTGAAAGAGGCAGTACTTTTTTTTGTCTGCCTGTATTTCAGGCGCGGATGAAAATAGTGGAAAATTTATTTACTGGACTGTAGAAACGTATGTAAATACGCAAAGTACGTGCGATCATTGAGGATCATTATCGCTTGGCAATATCGTGAATGTAGAGGGAAGGAATATCTATGAGAGTGTATATATATATATGCCTGGATAAAGTACGTATATACATGTGTATTACGTGCCGAGGTATATATCTATATATATCAGTGCGTAAGCTATAGAGCAATATGGTATACCCCATTGCCTGTAGAATCCCATAGAGCTCTCTGTAGTGCAAATTCGAGAGCAGTCGTTGCCCAGTGGAATTACGTGCAATATAATTTCTTGGTTATTTTGGAATTTCGCGACTGAGCGATATTCACCGTGTTACTCAATACGATTGTCGTGTATCGTAACGTCGTGGGATCTATGGAAGTATCGCCGCCTGTCGTCCCACGTGAGAACTACGCCGGGTGGATTAAAGTGCGCGTATAAAAATTTTTGCGGGAATCTTGAATATCGTACGGACATTAAATTTCGGATTAAACAAAATTTGTTGGTTTTCATGTAAATCGCACGGCTCATTCAATTCAAATGGCTTGTTTGACATTTAATTAATCTTGGTTTCTGGAAACGACAGATTTGATGTCTCGACTGGTGTCATATATAGTAATTTTCACCGAAACACTGAAACCATGGTGTTTCCATGGTGGTCGACTACTGTATCTGGAAACTTATCCATAACGTAATACCGCCATTTAAATTGTCTATTAAAATGAAATTTTTTCCATATACTCAGCAAGTCCATGCATTGTTACCAGAGAAAGAAGAGGGGGAGGGGGGGCTTTTTAAAAAAATATCAAAACCTCAAAAATATTATCCTGACTGCATTATATGAAAAAAGGTTTTTTTTTTGCCATTCAAAAAATGCAGAATAAATTATCGCGAAAACGTGAGGGATCAACGGGATGAAAAATTGCCGGATCGACAAGTAGATTTTACACTTGCTCGAGCATACTGGTTATACCCCTTTTTAGATGAAGGGTTATACTATATATATATATCCCACGTAGCTTTTATTATCATTATAGTATACGACCCATGCGCCACTATTATATATGTTTATGATATAGCGTGTATGTCTCTAAGGACTGTATTATTATCCTAGTAAACAGAAACGTAATTGTCCTATGAACTATTATGTCAGGAGAACAAGAGTCGGCAGCGTCTCTTATGGCCGTAATACGTTTTCCAAGAACGACGGGCTTAGGGTTCGTTAAATGGACGGTATAGAGATCAATGAGAAGCCATTGTTAGACGTCTATTAATCTTTCTATATGTCCAAACACGGATAAAATCACCAACGGTCAATAGCTGCCGTATAGCTGGGCAAACCATAACGAATGTGGTTCGGGATTACAGGAAGTGTCGAAAACGAAGTGAAAAAGCCGGAAGCCGGAAATAGCTCAAGGTGAAAAAAAAAAATAAAAGGAAAATATAGGAAATCTCGACTAGTCACGAGCACGTAAATAGATAAAGAAGAACGTGATGAACACCGAGATATACCAAAGGAACGAACATCCGGTCAGTACCGGAAGGAATGCCGAAGAAGATGGCAAATACGAATAACTCATGCGATGTAAAAAAAAAGGAAGCTTGAAAAATACGTAAAGCGAATATATATATATATAAAAAATATATATATCGTCTTACCTTATTCCCTGGGAGATTCACGTAAAACCGCAATTTTCGAATAAAACGACGAATACGGGCAGCATCCGATTTACGAGACGATTTCCCGCGCTTGCCTCGATACTGTGATTTAACTTTTTTTTTCATTTTCTATTTCTCACCCTTCAATCTCTGCCTTTCCCATTTCTGCGTGACACTCTCGTCTCCATCAAGCCCATCCCTTTTCGATTTGCCACTCGGCGAGAACGCACTTTACGGTAGCACTTATACTATTACTGTATATATACTTATTACATAGAACCAGCGTACCTAGTACACGTATGATAAAAGGGACTGGAAATAAGGGGTAGTTTCCCTATAGGTACATACATACGCAGAAAAAATTGAGTTTAGCACGTAGCCACTTACGGGCGTTGAGTAAAAGCTATTAAAAAAAAGACATTTTGCGTGTAAAAAACCCTATGCCAAGTACAAGAATGCTTTGAATTCCTCTAACAGAAAGTATTAAAATCATATTATTAATGCCAAGTACATCGGGTGGGTGAGAAGTCGGGTACAGAAGTCACTACGTATCCGCTTATTATACGATCTAGCACTAGCCCATTATTAAATTATTTTCAAAATTTTCTCGCTAGTATAGATCTGGAAAGATTTGGCCTTTCTTTCGCACCGTAGCGCCATCTCCATTCCACGTACGGCCCAAGTAAACAGTCACCACGCACTTTCCTCCCATACCTCACCGCACGGCGTCGACAAGCAGGACGCCATTAATGACGCTCAGTTAAATGGCTTGGTTCGTCGTCTTGGCTGTAGCGCCGGTTGCCTCTACTAGGCGCAGGACTCGGCCGAGTCCCTTGATCGGGTCAATGGCGTCTGGTCCGTGCCAGAAGGTAATGCGTGCCAGAAGGTAACCCGTCTCGTCGAACATCGACTTATCGTCTCGTCAGGTTTACGGCTTTAGCGTGACTGCACCTTTGAAAACGTTCGGTACTTCCACGTGGGATTTACTTAAGAAATAACAAAGGAGATTCAAAGCCGTGAAAGAGGTTAAGTCAGTGCAGTGCTTTAAACGTAAGAGAAACATAACCTCTCGAGGACGTACATATACGCATGTACACGTTACGCAAGAAAGTGAAATACGATCCAGGATTTCGTGAGCCTTGAAAAGATTTATAAGAGTAAACACAGAGGGTCTTTTTTTTCGTTCAAGGGTATTATCCTCCCTTACACCAATGAAGGGTTAGCAATGGCATTAATGCCCGTCGGATACCATAGTGCAAGGCGTTACTCGAGTTACGAAAGTTAGAAGCCAGGAAAGTGGGTGCAACTGTAAACCCACAGTGAAGTTTCATCTTTCACCGCAGAACTGAGCTCAGTAGGAAGTGGGAATCTCTCTTTTCTAGCATTGAGGTTGCCAACGGAGATTATATACTTCATCTCGTTCCCTCGCCATACCCATGTACCTGTCCTTCATTGGTAGGTACAAACTCCTTCTTTAGCCACCCTTCAACAACTCCTCCTGGCCTTTCGACTGCCACGAAGGTTTCGCCAAGTGGTTTTCTAATGAAATAATTTAACTTTTCTATCTGCCACGTCGGGCAAATAGCGGTTGGCCCCTGAGTACATTCCCCTTGGACCGGAAATTGTTTGCGCTACGTAAGACGGAAGGAAGGAAGGAAACGAGACAACTGAGAGGAGGGAGAGTCTAAGTGAAAGAAAAAAAATGAAAAAAAAAGGGAAACCAGAAAATTCCAAAGGAAAAACTACATCTCGTATATGTAAATACGTTTTCCAAGGTAAATTTATCTCAGTTAACAGGCAGCTTCTTATCGAAAATGTATATAAATGCTTTAACGGTGGACCGAGGAAAGTTCGGGAAGCGTGACTCTAACTAGATGGCTAACTAGCCGCCGCTGCCTGTACCAATACAATCCTTCAGGCTATCTGCCCATGCGACTGTTGCAATACTTGGAATAATTGTACCTAGGCGTCGTTGTCCGAGACCGCATGAATGGGCGAGTCTTGCTAATTGCGAAAGTTAGTCCGTTCCCTTACAGCCTGAGAAAGAGGTAAAATCCCTGGGGATAGATATATACATATATACCGGGAAAAGCCATATATATAGTTATACTTACAGAAACAGCAGAGAAATGCCTATTTTCTGCGTTTCGAGTAAACAAGGTGGGTACTTGGATAATTGTTTCCAGCGTTATATTCAATTTCACGGGTTAACCTCCACGAAGAGAAAAAGAGCTAAGAGATTAGTTAAGCTAAATAAGCTAAATAATTACTAGCTCCCACTTTGTGGGAAATACATCGTCGCTGCGTGAATAAGGATTTTTTTTTAATTAGAAAAAAATCATGGAAACCATTGTACGTTGGGTCGTTATCCTTAACTTTGATTTTTGGGGTGAGTTTGAATTCATGAAAAAATAATTACTAGCTCCCACTTTGTGGGAAATACATCGTCGCTGCGTGAATAAGGATTTTTTTTTAATTAGAAAAAAATCATGGAAACCATTGTACGTTGGGTCGTTATCCTTAACTTTGATTTTTGGGGTGAGTTTGAATTCATGAAAAAATAATTACTAGCTCTTTCTATATCAGTTTTTTTTTGTTCTTAATTGTCACCAGGAAATTGTCACCCGGTAATTGCACGGTGGCGAGCAGTTCTATGTACTCTGGGCTCTATGGTCAGAACCTTCTAGAAGGTTTAACGCGAAGGCAGCTCCCGTGAGAATTACATCCATCTGGTACAACCCCGTTGGCAGTGAGACAATGGGGTAGCTGACGATAACGAGAAATCCTCCAGCTAGAAGGGAGGTTGATAACGGCCTTCGATGATGATGACAGTTATCGAAGGATAAGGTTAGGTCTTAACGTCTAACCTATTTTCCTAATCTTCAGCCATGACTCCCACGAAAGCGTTGTCATTTCTATGGGATCGTTTGGACGGTGCACCCTTATTTCGCAAATCCTGAAGCACCAAGCGAACCCACTAGACACTCTCGAGAACACTCCTGGGAATGTGGTCCGGGTAAAAGGGGTCTTTTGAAAATTCAAAAGTGACGTCACTCAAAAGCATCCTCCCGTGATTGCCTAGTACACACGACGATAAAACGTCCCTTTGACCGTAGACTCGAAGTATCAAACCACCTGACATGAAAGGAAAATATTTTATAAAAATAACTATAACCATAAGTACAGAAAAAAAATATTTTTTAAATAAATTACTACACCTTCGATCCCAATTGTTCGACAGAACGAAGAGCTTCACGATAAGAAATTTCACTCTGCCTGGAGGAAAGTCAGCCATTTCATCCCCAAGGTGTTTTCTACGTGACAAAAAGCACAGTTAATTATGCCAAAGTTGAACGGCAACATGGCCGCCAACAATTCTATCCAAAACTCTCATCCGTCAACTCCCAGGTACAATAACCTCATAAACCTCAAAACTCGCATAATGAAACTCAACTTACCCCTCTTCTCTGTTATACATTCTGCTGATACCCTCTCTTACATAGTTATATACATATATATAATTATATCCACAGAAGCCTTCTGATTCCTTCTGACTGCTTTCGTACTCGCCAGACTCCCACTTAATATTAATGTAAGCATCAGCCAATTAACCTAATCACATTGCAGGTCCGCCTCGCCTGCTACTCAGTGCTCCTCAGTCAAATTGCTTTCTTCGATCGATACTTCAAAGAGCAGCTAAATAGCAATTACAGTGTGTATGCACGCTCGATATATGTCACCGAGAATTACGAAGTTAACCTACGACAAAAGTAAAGCGGCATAAAGCAATTAAAAAACCAGGCTCTGAAAAAAAATGTATTTGTGAAATAAAGTTAAACGGCAGATTTTTATTACACGTATCACAGAAAGAAAAAAAAAAACCCATGAAAATGCGTTCAAAAGCTTTATCGCGGTAACACGTGCCTCCCTGTCAATAATTAATGTATACAAATATACGTCCGCAACAATAAGATACACACGAATTCATAAATCAATAGAATATTCAAGTTTACCTCGATGCCAAGAAAATGGAATTTTCTTTTTCTTCTTCTTCCTTCCTCCCCGTGCAACTTCGTCCAAGGTAAATATCCCCTGCTTAATAATATGACGGTGAAGCTTGTCGTTTTCGTATTCAACATGGAGGCTCTTATGCGGATTACCTCTCGTAGCCTCGCATAGGATTAGATTTACCGATGTAAACACGTGGGATCCTGATGCCCCAACGGTATTCCATGGCCTTGCACGTGCACGCGTATATACATAGTGTACGTATCCTTCTGTTGTTAGGGGCTGGCTACGCCAGTAGAATGGAGTTTGGTTTAACTTGCGTAAAACTCGTGTAAAGCGGCGAAACGGCCCGCTGTCCCTGTGAAAATCTGAAATTCATATAAGCAGTGGAAAAGTTGGTAGCGAGCGAGAGAGGGGGAAGTATCCACAGACGAGAAGTGGGGGGTTATGGGAGTTGGTGGAGCGGT